CAATTCAATGATACAGGCAACAACTCGATCGAAGAACAGGTGCAGCTGTCATACGTCTGTACATCTCTATATATGTATGTACGCTATGTACGAGAATACCCGTGAGTATGTACATATGTACATATGTAGCTAGTCAGCACTTTTCTGCTTTGCCCTGCTGAAGTGTCGCAGAGCTGCTTGCTGATGATGATGATGATGTTTTATCTCTTTTCCATCTTCTATTTTTTAAGAAGCTTGTGCAAAGAACTTTGTCTTATTGGCATAACAAATTGTACATTTGTACACACATGTGTATGTGAATCGAGACAAGCTGCGGGATCGCAAAACGATGCTCGAATGCTCTTGAAGTGTGGATGAAACAGATCAATGGAGGATCTAATTACATATCAAAATCATAAGGAAAGTATACCCTTGTACAGATGTTTTCTGTTCAACATTGGTCATTCTACGGCAAGACGATCAGATCTAGCGATGTCCGGCTATCTTTCATATCGAATATTATGTTGAAGTCGTCCGGATTGGCCTTCTATATGGGATATGGCTGGACTCCTCACTTACTCAATCGAAAAACCCGTTGGAGAGTGTTTCCTGAAGCTGGAGGCGGGGTAGGTATGGGAATAAGAAAACTCGTAGAGCCAGAGACCAGCCCCCAAGCCGTTAAAAAGATTTACGGATTTTTGACACCATATTCCTCACTTCACATGTGATTTTCAACGCCATTTATTTCAATGTATACTTTTAATGGCCGTCGGCGATCTACAAAGTACATATGTACATATATAGAATTCGGCGCGCTTTTCGGAATTTGTTCGGATTTCGTTATTTCTTTCGCTAAGCCTGCCAAACCTTACGACAATTTGTAAGTACCCCTTCAGGAGGGAGACCATCCGGAGCGTGTGATTTTGTTTTGTTTTGTTCATGTTTTGCGTATTTCAGTTGGCTAATCATGAGTTTGCACAAAATTACCGGTGAATCAACAATTCATTCCCCAAAAATGCTGTGAAGAATTTCGAACAACCTATTGGTTGCGTTTTAAAATGTAAATTACAAAATTCGTTTGTTCTGCGCCGCAAATTAAACGTATCAGGGCTTCGGGTTTGGGTATAAGGCATAATAAACTTTTTTGTACATACGAGTACGTATTAAAAATTATAATACATAGCACAAAAATTAAGCATTACGCTCAATTCCTCGTTCGTTCCCGTGGCGAGCACGGCAATCGTTGTCGGTGGATGCTGATGGCCTTGTAACAGTTTTTCCATCGCAAGTCAGCGTACAACACGTTGCTAACTACGATTTTGTACGTACATACGTACATACGTACATACGTACGTATACATATGTACCTCTGATTGATCGGCTGGATTGGGTATTATCAGTGCTGCGAGTCGAGCCAAGTTCAAGTTCACGCATCTCAAGTACGACTCAGTGACCATCCAGGCAGCAGCTTACGTACATATGTACATACATACATATGTACACATGTATGTATGTACATATGTATGTACATACAGACGTACTTCATCAATTTAAGCGACAATCAAATTGTTTTATGTCGGGTACACAGCTTACACGCATTTAAAAGTCCATTAATACCCATAAGCGCAGCGCAGTCCAGTACAATAATTAAACAAAAAAGCGTACTGGTAATTGCTAAGTAGAGCTCGAATGTACGAGCATAATGAAGACATTTATAAGCTGCTGGGGCTCATAAAAATACCCATAAACAATGCTCTAATTATATGGATTATTGTTGGGGACATTCATTTTGAAAAAATTAGTTAAGCAAATTGTGTGAGAATTTAATTATCGCCATGGGGAGGTCCGCAGACTGTGACGAATGGGCCAATTATAGGAAATTAATTTATCTTCTATTTCATTCGGATTTAGCAAGTGCTTACGAGTAGGTCAAAATTTAAATTTAAATTTGAGCATATGCAAAATATTTACATGGATACTCCTTCCCCATTTTTGCACCCTTTTTGAAAATTTTACTCCCTGATTACTGTGATATCTGGCACTCGGTAGCGAGTACATTGATCTCTGGACAATCTCGAAACGCTCGACTTTTGGTGTTGTATAATTGTCAATCAATGATGGCGACCCAAGTGAACCCAGCAAAAAAAATAAATAAAAAAATTGATTGAAATAATCTAGAAAACTGTCTAAAAGTACACATTTAAATAGAGAGAATCTCAAAATGTAAAGATCGCGATCTCAATTCATATTAATTCACTTGATGCACGTACTATATACAATGTACATACATATGTAGGTATGTATGTATGTATGTATGTACATGCATATGCATAATAATCCACAATCAGCAGGTACGGGTACGGCACTGATCGATTTGTTCGGAAACTGCATTTATAAACTGTTTCAGGTTGACTCCTGAGAATCGAACATTAATACGTAACTAACCTATCACAAAGTTTAACTAACATATTCTTTGCCGGATTTTATTTGAACTTTCCGACAGTTCTAACATTTTTAGATCAAACACGAATTGTACAATCCCTTATTCAAATAATATTATTTGCGTATTCTAAACTTATTTCTGCAGTAGTGTATCGTAACTTACTCTTTTGCGTCGTTAACATTGTTGTTACTTTGATTGTGGGCGTTTGTTGTTGTTAATTGTTGATTGGATTATGGTACTTCACGCACACACCGCCTACGGTAAGTCTCTGAAGGAGAAGGCTCCTCTGGAATGGGAGCCGGTATTTCGGATTAACCGCGGCGCGCAATTACAAGATAGGCTACTGGTGACTGCTAGCAATTAAATGATTCGATTTCCCGAACATCTTGGGGGATTGAAATGTTTTTATAAAATTTCGTTATTTAATGTCCGACATCGGAATTTACATACATACATGCAAGTGTATTATAACTTAGTACATTCGCGAGCAGAGCTTTTTAAAACGATGCCGAGCTTATCAGAAGCTCGACAGTCAAGAAAACAGGCAGAGGAACAGACAATGACAATGGAAGTCACAGGAACGAGCGTCTGTCCAAGGCATGTGTACATTGATGTACATATGTAGGTTTAAGTTTCGGAAAAGCCGAAACAGCTGTCCCTACTCAGGAGTCGGTATGCTCCTGATCGCGCACTGCACCCCTCCCTGGCTAAAATACGTGCATGTATGCATACATACTACGGGTAAGTATGTATGTACGTATGTACGAAGCCACACACAAGTGGATCGGAGCGCTTCTATTTAAATGGTTAATCAGCTTGTGCACTATTGAAGTCGGTTTATTTTTGCCTTTGTCACGCCGTGAAATGTCGTAGGCCCAATTACCCAAATCCCTGAACTCATTTTCCTCATTTATTTCCTTATTTATTTCATTATTTTTATTCACACACACAAGATTTACACACAGGCGCACGCAACAAAACCGACTAACTGGCAGACTTTACGAAAAGGAAAGACTTCAAAGAAAATGTTTAATCAAAATAGTAAAGTATCCCAGCCACAGCCACAGCCAGAGACAGACACAGAGAAGTCGTTGAACGCAGACGAAAACGGCGACGCAGAAACAAAAGGAAATCTAAAGGCAAAAGTACGATAGCAGAAATCCGAAAAGAGAGACTTGATGAGAGACTTTGGTCTTTCTCTTGTTCTCTGTACCTCATTCCCTCTCCACTCTCCCCTCTCTCTAAGAAGGAAGCATATCATTGGAACGAACATAAACATGGACATGCTGGTCGGTATATGCCCTACTTAAAACGATTAGCAACTTGGATCAAGAACAGAATGTTAATATTGTACATATTGAAGTATATAAGTACATACATATGTACATGCATGCATACGTATGTTGAATCTTAACTGGAAATCCCTTAACTTTTCCTGCTTTGACCTTGAATAAAGATGAAAACAGCAGAAGTTCTTTAAAACTGCATACATTGTACATATGTACATACATTGTATGTATGTATACGCACCGCACATAAATAAAAAAGCTGACAATTTGTTTCGAGCACAAAAATTATAGATATGTACATATGTATGTATACATACATGTATGTATGTATGGATAAGTAATTTTACTTTGTGTAGAGAAACGCCCACACCACAATGAGTTTGCTCAAATTTGATTGCGTTTAATTATGGGTTAGGTAATCCATTAGCATGTATTCAACTTTCCTTTGGACTCATTTACCATTTTTATATTATTAATTTATAGTTTACTGTATTTATTCAAATTTAAGCAAATCCCGAACATTACTATAGTCTTCCGTGCTATTCTGTATCAGAGGGGAGGTTACACAAGGGATCTCGCATACATACATATGTATGTATGTATGTACATACCACCGGACGGCTGCGGCTGCGGTTGGAACCCACCATTAATGCAAATCGAATGCGTTGGGACCGTGTTCTGTAATGAAAGTGCATTGATGATACATATGTATCTCAACAGTGTATGACGCAAATCTAGAGCGTTGCAAGAGGAAGTGAAGGGAGTTCGACGCCCAACTTCCGCACTTACATAAATATGTTTCTTGTACAGCTTCCCTTTACCGTCACTGACCACGCCGAAAAGAGTCAGGCTAGTGCATCAGTTCAAGGTTTTCCACCAGCGCCAGGGGACGCCCCCTGCCCCGTCTGGCAACTCTAAGCGGCTTGACACCTTCCAGCCTCCAGACACCTCTCTCTCGTTCTCCACACGTGACGCCGCTCAGCCACTCCACTCATCAGTAAATCGATGATGGCGATAAAGCCGCGCCAAACCATTTCCAGTCGCCTCAGATGTCCAAGTGATCGCAAGCGAATATTTGTTTGTCCCTCTGTGTTTTAATTGAATTTGTATGGTGCCCGGCGAAAGAACACGCGGTTTATTATATTTCGCACATTTTTGTTTTCTTTATTACCTCTTTTATCCGAGTATAAATTCTTTTATCTAAAGTTAACGATCTTCTCATTAAGCAACCGATTCAATTTAACGAGACCTTTTTATTTGTATTTGTCAATTAATTGATTTTCTTATCTACAATACTGTGAAATTGATTTTGTTGTTAATAATTTTTTATCGGCTCTTAACTGCCATTGTTGCGGTGCTCGAAGAACACTCCTAAACTTACTATAACGGAAATCATAATTATTGATTTCAAGCGGAGGAAAGTCTATATTTTGAGCATTTCAGTGGCACAAGTGAGTAATTTGAAAAGTCAGTCAGTCAGTATTTGAAAAAGTTTTTTGTATTGTATGGGAGAAATGAAAGCATCGGTGCAGCGAAATACTCGACACGACACTGCTCTGAAATGAAAATTAATAAAAAAAACTAAAACATAGAAACTTTTCTAACTAATAACAAAGCACTTGGATAATAGCCCTTTAATAAAATGCATACTCGACAATTATGTACATACATATGTTATTCTTTACTCTTACATTTGAGTCCACTGTGCAACTAACTGTCCTATTGGACAGTTAGGTGAGCAAAACAACAACGAAACGAAAAGCATGCCTTGAAACTGTTTTGCGCGGGAAGCTGTTGAGTGCCGTCTCTCTCCCTCCCTCCCCTTCTCCATCTCGTTCTCGTTCTCCTTCTTTACCTGCACCTCTCTCTTTCAGCGTGTGCTGACATGACACTATCAACAACAGTGGAGCAGCCCATTTTTCATTTTAATTCCATTTATTCAATTGATATGCGAATGAAAATCATTTCATGTTAACAGTTTTATTGGACCCCCCACACCCCGCGCAAAGGCATGACACAAATGAATAACACAATTTAAATGTTGTTATTCCATCGTCAGAATATTATTATATACCAAAATGCATACAATAATTTCAAGATGAATCTCAAAATTATCCGTTCGTGGGTTTTTCTCTAATTGTATGCATTCCAGGTAAACCGCAGACGTACCCGGTTTACCAGAGGCGTGCCAAGCACCGATATCAGCACGTGAACCACTGGGCACAGCATAAAACCGACCGGCAGCGCAATTGCTTTCAACAACATGGGCGAACGTTTGTATAGGTACATACATACATACAAATGTACATATGTATGCAATACATTTTAGAGTACTCATGAGTAATGCAGTAACATTAATTTGCATTCCGATTATATTGAATTCTAAGAAACGTCTGATGTACATATGCATATGTATTAATTAGATTACTATGGTAAATACGTTTGTTATTATCTTTTTCAACCAAATAGTTGGTCGTGTGACAGGGCTGGAAAACTACCGACTGCTTTCTATGCACAGGCGCAGTCGCAGGCACAGACCCAGGTACAGGCACAGGCACAGGCACAGGCACCGGGCGTACTTTGTGCGGATTTCAGCAATGCCGGAGCCTGTCTAGCGGGGGGATTGCGCTACTACAACAGTAACGGATTGGCCGGGTACATGCAGCCACCAGGAATGCTGCCAGGGAAGTACGCCAGTATTCCGTCCACGCCTATGCCGACCCACTTGGATGTGTGCCAGCATGCTCATATGAATGGTAGCGCTTCCTGCTTCAACCGAAATCGCTATATGCCGTACAATCACAGTCGCTCCTGCGCGGCTGCAGCGGCTGTTGCCGCCGTAACCGGTCATCCGTTGCTGCACAACCATCCACAGCAGCAACAACAGGTTGGCGCGGCCACCTTGAGCTTGACCCGTGGCTCCCAGACGTATCAGTCATACGAGTCCGTCTATCAGCCAAACACCATGTGCCCTCTACCCCTGCCCATGGCCCCGACGGCAGCTCCCCCCGCTATCAGCGCCTCAGTCAGCAGCAGTGTTGCTACGGACCAAGCCAGCAGCATTGGGGAGGGGTCTGGTCAGGCCTACGCCACCATTACCGATCCTAGTGATGCAGTCACTCTGCAAATTACCAATCTGGACTACTCACTGGATGAGTCAAGTCTGCGCAACTTCCTTATGAACCAACTGAAGCCCATCACGCCGGTGGTGTCGCTGATCTTTGAGGGCAGCTCCTATGCCAAGGTCACTGTGCCGGATCTTTATGTGAGCGCCCCACTGTCTGATCTCCCGAATTGTTAAATTATTTTTGAAATTCCCTCTCCCAAGTTTGCCAAACAGGTCGTGTCCAATTTGCATCGAAAGAAGATTGGGCACAAGCGCATGCTGGTCAGCTACACACGCGACTCTTCTCTGACCGAGGTCAACACGTTGCGTTGCCAGGTCGCTGGACTGCTGAAGGTACGAGAAACTTAGATTTCCACATACTCGGATACTCGCATACTCGTATACTCGTATACTTGTATTCATATTCATTTCAGTTGTGTTTTCTATCTTACCATTTTGTGCTTCTCTTTTTCTCTTCCCCAGGATGTTCCGTACTATACACTGCCGATGTATAAGTTCCGAGAGCTTTTCCAGTCGCGTTTCAAAACCTCAATCAGTGTTCTGGATTTGTACAAAATGCAGGACATCTGTACCATCAACTCGGATAACAACGAGGATAAGTTTATTAGTCTGCAGCCAGAGCTCGTAAACACCTTGGAGAGCTCACCTCTAATGGAGGGACTGCAGCACAGTGTCCCTTATTGCACCGTTCACTTCAAGAAGGAGCAGCACAAGGGATGGGCAGAGCAGGATATTGAGCCGCTGCCCAACGTGTTTATGACCATCTCAGAGATCCAGAAGCTCATTTATCCGCTGCTCAAGCATCATCCAGGTGACATACCCGTGGCCACTCTCCTTCACTGTATTGAGGGACAGTTGAAGGTGTCGATTATGGCCAACGAAAGCGGTGTCAACCTGGAGCACTTGGTCTGCTGTGTCCAGGGCATACAGATACAGGTGAATAACTTCGGCATTAAGATTCTCGGCTGGTTGGAGCTGAACAAGGAGATGACGTCCTCGATTGGAGCCACCTCCTGCGGCTCGAATTCGAGTAGTTTAAATGGCAGCGACCGTTCGAATCTCTCGGGCGGCAGCTACTTTAAGAACTCTGTCGCTGATCCGCTCTATCAGATTTCGCGCGAGGTTATCGAACTGGTAAAGATGTCGCCCAAGTCGACGATGAAGTTCAATCGCTTTATCCCGGCATATCACAATCATTTTGGCAAGCAATGTCGAGTGGCAGACTATGGCTACACCAAGCTCATTGAGCTCTTTGAGGCTCTGTCCTCCGTGGTCCAGATAATGGGTGACGGAGAGAATCGCCAGATCACTCTAACTCATCGAACTCAGATACGTAGATTCACGTCCGACCTGTTGCGGGTCCTACGAGCGCATGGTAATAACTCGGTTCTTCTGTCCCAACTACCGGGCATCTTTGCTCAGACCCAGAGTCGGAATTTTGACGTAACTGACTATGGAGTGTGCGATATTGTGGACATTCTGGATGGCCTGGTCAACTCCAATATTGTGGTCTTGAGCACCGTGCAGCAGGGAAAGGACATACTCATTTCAATGCCGAAGCGCAAGCAGACAAACAGCGAGCTCGAAAAAACCTGCGTTTTTGCGGGGGAAATGGTGGAGCTCTTCCAGAACTCCCTCCAGTACACAATACTGTTTCAAAAGTTCGTACGTTCGTATCACTATCACTTCGCATACCAGTGTCGTCTCAGCGACTACGGGTTCCTGAAGCTGGCCGACCTCATGGACGCCATTCATGGTGTGGTTGAAATGGAGTTGACCGGTGATGAGGACAAGAAAATCCTCCTTTCGCCAAAGGTGGCCAGGCGTGTGTTTGCAGAGCAGTGCGAGGACCTCATTCGGAATGTCACTGGCAATTCCACGAACTGCATGAGACTGGAGCAGGTGCTGAAGTTGCACAAGAAAAAGTATGGCTACCAGATGCAGCCACAGACCTTGGGTGTATCGGATATAGCCACAGCCATCGAGCTGTTGCCCTATGTGGAGGTACAGCACAAGGACAACGCCACCTGGCTGATTTGTCACAATGATGATCTGGAATTCCGCCAGCTGTGTTATCGGGCCTGTAAGCATCTACTGCAGCAAGAGTCTGCAGCGCCGTCAGCTACAGTTCAATCTGCCAGCTCGTTAGCATCGCCTGCCCCCGAGCCTTTCCCTAAAGCTCAATTCATTAGCGAATTCAACGCAAAACACACGATCCAGCTTACAGAGACGGCTTTGCTTGCCATGCGACACAGCATCGAGGTGAGTACTGTACTCCATCCTTTGTACAACTATTGCCTAGAGCTTTTAGCCCATTGACCATGCCGTCTTCCCAGATCTACGAGGAAAGCGATCAGCAGTGCGTTCGCCTTACCAGTTTTATGAGGTTTCTGATCTCGATAGTCCGAATGCTGGAACAACGGCCCAGCATGTATCTGTACGAGATCAAGAGCGGACTGGACTGTGGGCTCAGCACAACCTTTGAGTATGGATTTCCCAACTTATATTCGGTGGTTGCCGCGCATGAGGATCTCTTTACGCTTAACAAGGGACCCACGCAGGAAAGGAGCGATGTGTCACTGAATGTGAACTGCGAGTGTAAGTGAACTGACCTACTCGTGCTCCACCTTCTGTACCTCCCTCATTCCGTCTACAGTGCGTATCAGTTCGGGTGTCAGTCACCAGCATTTGTTCGGCTCCCTGAAGTTGCCCTATGCGAAGCACAAGGCGCAGCGCCCCTACCGTACTCCCCTGGGCGAACACAATCGTCCACCACCTGCTCAGGCGCCGCCGCCGCACAAAACCCGAAAAACTGAATATGCGAACAGTGTGGCTAGTGCATCCAATGCGTCCTTCAAGCCGCAGGTTAACAGCTTCCAGAACTACCAGGAGCAGTATAACACCAAGTGCTCACCACCGAGTGCGAACTCCTCGTTGCTGAATAGTTTTGGGTCGAGTGCGGGAAACCTTAGCTTGTGCAACAGCTGCTGCAACAAGGAGAACTCCCTAAACTCGTCCCTCCAGCTGTTCAACAGTTCGTTCAACTCATCTGGAGATCTGAACGGTAGTCTTGGAGCCGGAGACTTGACCAACATTACATCTAGCACTGCCATAATGCCCGGCACTCCGCACGCGCACTCGTCGGGAAAGCTATGGCATCGCCGTCAGGCTAGTTTCTATCCTCAGCAGATGCAGCATCCACTACAACCTTCCGCTGTGCAGCACTCGGTAAATGCATCTGGCGATCTATATGATTTGGTTAGCTGTACTGGAACGTCGATGGGCTCCATCTATGAGTCAGCCAATCCTGATGGGCACCCCTCAGAGGTAAGATATGATGCCCTAAATGTTGCATTGGTTATATTTGTATTCTCAAATTACTCTTGACAGAAATTACCTTTTTGGATCGATCCCGTTTGGAGCAATCAATTGGAACAGCAACTGCCAAATCAAAATGTACTCAATATTCGTCTCCCCGAACTAAAGTCGCTTAATGTGTTGCCCATGCTACTGTCCCCGTATACTATATCCAAAAATGAGAACATGAAGCGACAGCTATTTAATTTCGACAATCATGACCGTAAAATAGCTTAATAAGGCGGAAACAATACATTTCTGTCCTTTTGATAAAGCTAAATATTTTTTATTTTAAGCGCCTTTTTTCAACAAAAACTTAGCTCTTAAAATTGTAAAGAAGAAGAGAAGGAAAGCGAGCAAGAACGAGAGGGGGATCAAGTAAAATAGCACTCCAGGAGAGTCGAAGTCATTAAAGTCCCAACCAACAGCCTCGCCTCAGATATTAAACCTTTTTTATAAATCGTTAATTAAAACAGATATTTTGTATTAGCTGTTATGAACAAATTTGTATAATTCAATTTTTTCATTTGTTTTGTATACTTTATTAAAACGCTATATAAATTGATATATTTTATAATACTGGCTGACCTAAAGCATTAGCTAATGTTCTAAAAGTCTGGGGCCACAATACGAAAAAAGGCATTGGCCAGCTCGATACCAAAGAAGGTGGCCGCATTCGCTGGAAAGGCGCGCAACATTACCGGGGTAATTCCTCTGTACAGCGCCAGTAGACCGTCATTTTTCATGAGATCCATGAAAACGCTTCGTATCCCATGCTTGTATGTCCCCTCAGGAGCTTCGGTTAAAGTTTTGGGTAAGATTTGGTCAGCACTCGAAGGTGAGCTTAACTAACCTGACTGCAATCGACTCTTAAGCACATCGGCTGGCATTCCCCCGATCCAATAGAAAATGCCCGCCATTCCACCGGCTAAGATGGCCGGAAATAGATCCACGTTGGGTCTGTCATAGCGTCGCTTGTACTCAGAGGTCAGTATCTCGTAGCTGAGAAAATATAGCCCATTAGCGGGTAGATCTGTAAAGTAGAAAGAACACTTAAATATTTCACATAATAACAATCGCACAACAATCAAAACCACCTCATAAATACTATTAATTGCCGCGCTGTTACATCAAGCCCATCAAGCGCTGTGGTTATCTAACATTTATTAGATCAGATCAGTTTTTGAAAAACTGAGTAACATGTAATGGGGGATGTAGTGTTCGTCAACCGAATCAATTAATAAGAATGTCAAGAAAAGCGCAATAATATATGTACAAGGTATTACCCGCTGCTTGCATAAAATATAATTTTCTATCGGCAACTGTCCTTTCAAATCAAGTCAAATGGGATGAAGTACAGACGGCGAACCTGGACTTGGTTAAGCTGTTAAGACCCAGCTGTTGTCCCATTCCGTCCGGTCATATCATGTCTCCTTCGATTTTTAATGAAATTTGTATTCGCCTATCTGTTTCCAATCGGGACAATCGTACACATTACCATTTTTAAAAAGATCAAAATAAGACGGGTTTTCCAAATGGTTTCCCTATTATAAAGTAGGTCTTGACTAAGCCTATAATTGGTGCTAAGGTCGAGTTTCAACATTTTTAGAAAATAATATCGCGTTTTTTTGGCCTTGGTGGACTGTTTCATGGAAATGCCCATATCAATTTTAATGACCAGATGTGTATATTGTTATCGTATGAAACGTTTTCAGATTTCATAGCTCCCATTTTTTAATTGACCCATTTTGTTAGCTCTTTTCCTAATCATTTCCTGAGAAAAATACTCTGTATTACTAGTTCAAAAAATTGTAGTAAAGCCGCGGAAAATAATTATGTTTTTTTTTTGTATTGTTTTGAAATTTTCTTGTGTATTTATTCTTTCCTTTTAATTTAAGCAAAAATTACATTATATTTTCTATATAGACAGAAATGTCTGTATCAAACAGTCTATTTACGCTTATCGAGATTACTATTAGTACTCGTATTTCCATGGTGTCGCAAAAGACACGTTTAAATGGACCATAGCCCCAACTTATAACTCTTAATTAACCGCACAATTGGTACTAAGGTTGACTCTGGGCAATTTTTCGTTTTCAAGATAACTGCAGAAACCGAAGACACTCGGACGGGACAGATCACGGGAACCCTCTACGAGGGTGGAATTGCTTTTGTAATTACATATGAATGTAGACACATTTACATTTTATATCGTAACATTTACATTGATTACATTGACATTATAAAAGTGCAAACTCCGGTTATTATTATTTAATCGTTTCATATCAAAAAATGCATTTATTTAACATAACTTTATTACTTAACTGAACATTTTTATATTCATGACGTTCTCAAGAGAGAAAACAAACTGTTTGCATTTAGAACTGTGGTGCCACGGCATTGAAAAATTTGTTCGCCAGCTCAATACCGAAGAAACAGGCCGCATTGGCTGGGAATGCGCGAATCATAATGGGCGTAACGCCTCGGTACAAGGCCAGTGGACCATCCTTGACAATCAGGTCCTTGAATACACTGCGAACGCCATGTTTGTAAGTACCCTCAGGGGCTGTAATATAAGAATAAACGTACTTAGCTAGTACACCTGCAAAGGAAAGCAGTTTTTGGTCAAAAGTACTCACCGGACTGCAGGCGACTCTTTAGGACATCAGCGGGCATGCCCAAGATCCAGTACGCCATCCCAGCAGCGCCGCCAGCAAAAATGGTTGAGGCAGTATTAATCTGGCCTGTTTCCGATTTTGCCTTGACCACATCCTGTATATACTCATATACCAGGAAGTATAGTCCGTTGGCGGGCAAATCTAAAAACATGGTTTTGTTTTGATGTATTATTCAATAAATTAAACGTGCGAAAATTATCTAACTTTTACAATCGAATCTACTAATGATTTGATGTACTTACACAATAATACAAGTATTTTAAACATTTTCGAGCCGTTGGTAAGTGGCAAGTCTAAGTATTTTGACCAATGTCTTGAATTCCTAATTATCGGATCCATCTAGCAATGAGCTTGTGTCAATATTTCTTCTAAATGAATAACATGTACATACTTAAGTGATACTATCAATATAATACAATTAATTGTTGCAATTGTCACAGCAGTACGAGCAGTACATAAGTACAGAAAACTTTGATCAGCATCTGCGCTAAAGAGTGCCCATATAATAGTGTTATTCCAGACAAATACAGAGAGGAGGTGGAGGGGATGGTTCTGAATCTTCCACAGAGCATAAGTCATCAGGCATCAGAGCCATCTAAAGCAGCAGGACCTCGGGCACAGTGCAAAATTGAGTGTGCACCTGGCGCGTTTCACTTTTCATCAGTCGAACTAGTTGCGCTTTATCTGTGCCCGATGGACTTTCTCGCCCAAATGCTCATACCATCAATGTACATACATATAAACGAATATCTCGATATACGAGTGCTACACATGCACACGTTATACAATTCATGTTTTTCTTATTTTGTTTCTTATCCCAGCAGAGGATGTTCTTATCGGCGACTTCCTTTAAAGCAGAGACGACGAATAATATGAAAACAATACTTGGAGTTCAAATGGGAACCGCCTTCATCTCTCAGTAATTGTTCAGGCATGTGGCAGTTGCGCTGCGGTCTCGTTTTAGTTTATTAATGGCATTCGTCGAATAAAGCGTGACGCCAGAATGAAGATGAGGGGGATCGTCCAGGGCTCGTCAAATGGTGCGATAGGGTGCAAGATGCTGCTGATCTTTCTAATGGTGACGAAGGTAAGTTACTGCCTTCGGGCTGTATGTTGAGAACACTGGTATACTGGTATCTATGCCTAAACATAGCCGATACATGGATCTGCGCTGGGCAATGTTCTACGGCCTGAGTCCGAGCCGAACCTTGAAGTTCTCACTTGCCCAGGCAAATGCGTCTGTCAGTTGGAAGCATTCAACGAGCTGCCCATTGCTCGTTGGGTCAATCACATGGCCAGGGACTATGGTGATGATAGCTTCCTGCAGCAGCCCACACACACAAAACTGGCGACGTGCCTGGTACAGTCCCAAGACGAGTGGCAGGAGCTTCGGGATTACTTGCCAACGGATTTGCAGGCCTTGATTTTGCTCTACACGGGCAACGTGGAAAACCAACTGGCAGGTGTGTAACGACTTTTTATTCGGATAGGTATACCAGTAATTTATAATTCATTTCGCAGTAAACACCAGCAGCTTACGGCCACTCAATCAGCTAAGAACTCTCGAAATCCGTGGAACCGGAGCCACTCTAATCATCGATGATCCGCTGGAGTTCTTGCAGCATGCCAACTTTGAGCATATCAGGTTGCAGGCCAGCGATCGGCTGCAACGTCCAAAGTTCTCCAAACTACCCAGTGACGACTATGAGTATAAGCCGCCGAGTGAGCTCCTTCCGCCCAGCGAATACTCCACCAAGTACCCACTGCAATTTGAGGATGCCGCCTCTGATATTGTCACCTATGAGCAGCACATGCAACGACTGAAGCAGACCAGGATGCCCAGCTTTTTTGGATGGGGCAGACTAGAAGTGCTGCGCATTGTGGGCTGTAAGCTGGACAAACTGCACTGGCAAATGTTCGATGGACTAACCCAACTGAGGGACCTCAATCTGGAGAGGAATAGCATTGAGGAGTTGCCCCCGTTCGCTTTCTCGGGAGCTCTGCAGCTGAAGAGTCTCTCCTTAGCCCACAACGCCTTAAGGCGATTGCATTATCTGGGTCTGGCTGGCTTACTCCAGCTGGAGACACTCAATTTAGCTGATAATCGACTGGAGCGCCTAAGTGAATTAAGTTTTCCGCCCTTGCCAAAGTTGCAGAAGGCAGATCTGCGCAGCAATCCAGTTAGATACATCCTTCCTGGCACGTTTTGGGTGATGAACGATACGAGGGAACTTCGAATGGGCAGCGATCAGGCGGCTTTGGATCTGCGCACTTGGTTCATTTATGGACAATTTGATTCCCTTAACGAACTACGCACTCTAATACTTGGCAATGTTTCCACCGAAACGCTAGAACAGGGAGTGTTTAAGGTCAGCAAGGCTCTTTAAAATAGTTTCGTAACAGCTTTTAATTCGAACCTTAATTTACAGGGTCTTTATAGGCTGGAGTTTCTTAAGCTGCGTGGGAAAATCCACAGCTTACAGTTTGATGTATTTGCAGGCATGGAACACCTCAGGGAACTGGACATTAGTCAGTGTGGCGTTTCAGAACTGTCCATGGATGCATTTATGGGCGTGAAGCGACTGAAGTTTCTCAGCTTGAGCCATAACAATCTTACAAATATACCCCATGGGTTGCTGGACGACCAGCAGAGGCTTGAGGAAGTCCAGCTGCAAGGAAATCAGCTAAAAACACTGCCCACTAGTTTTTTTCGGCTGCCACTTGTCCGGGTGATTCGTCTCGATCAGAATCCGTGGCAATGCAGCTGCCAGATGCAATACTGGAAACCATACTTAACCAATGTGGTACGGGGGCCCATTGTAAAGAGGTGTGTAAAAGACATAAATGGCGATCCCCTCTCGTGCAGACACGAGGCCCCCTATGAGACCGATAGGAGTCTCGTCCCCCGCTGCTCAAACTACAATGGACGCAGTGTATACTACGTTCTCCGCAAGCAACTCCATTGCGGCGACATACAAATCCTTCAGCCGCCAAGTCACAACAGGATCGGAACAAGAGGGCTGCCGCTGCCCCACTGGCGGAAGGTCGAGCTGCATGAGGAGCAATCCAAGAAGGCTACGCCCAGGAAAATAACACACAAGCCTACAAAGCAACGCAACACGCTGCAGTTTGTGCTAAGGCAACAGAATCAGCAGCCCCACCCGGAGCCGCTCGAATTGGAGATGTCGAATGAGATTTAACCATTTAAATCATACTCTAAGTTAGCTCTAAGTTTACTCCGAACTTGAATATAATTGTAATGTAATGTAACCACACAGCCAAGAGTGGAAATGATAAGAGTGAGCTGTACTTACCCCTGAGCATGGTGGCGCAGCTGCCCTTGAAGACACTGCGCAGTCCTCCTTCCTTATAAAGCTTCGCAGCGCAATCGATCATTCCATTATATTTACGCTGACCACCCTGCCCCTGTTGCGTTTGCAGCAGGACTTTGATTCTCTCTCCCGGTGCCATAATCAGCGTGGAGAAGAGGCCCGAAAACGAACCGGCGACAAAAATTTGTGAGTAGGTGAGCCTGGCGTCCTCCCCCCGTTGCTGTAAACGTTTTCCCAACGCATAGCCCGCAAAGCACATGGCAAAAATAGGTGCAACACCCGTTAACGGAGCTGACATGCCCTTGTAGAGCCCGCGAACACCTTCGTTCTTTATGGTTTTCGCAGCACAGTCAAAGGTGCCTTTGTAAAGTGGTTGCTCACCCGGCGCCGGCCGCGGCATTGTCTGCAAACGTACCTGCAGTACAAAAAATATATTCCAAATTAGTTGTTATTCGCAGTAGTTAAAATAGCTCACCTTTATGGTATCTAACGGGTGCCCAGAAAGAACATTACAGATTCCACCAAAGCCGCCAGTGATGAAAGATTTGGCCGGATTCGCCTTTCGCTCCGTGGACACCTTTTCGACGGTTGCCATAGTGATTCCAAAAGGTTTATTTCTGAAACACAGTTTGAGTTCAGATTTTGTTTTATGTAAAACATATTTAGCCAAGGCCTATCAACTGTTGGAGTTTGCACCTAGACGATTATTGGATTGGGGCCCTAATCTAGGGTCTACTCTTGTGATAGTCTCAGCCAATCAGAGAATACCGAGACGTCATTTGTTACGCCATCAAGGTGAATGTGAATTGCAGATTGACGATTTTGCAAGATGCTGCGGCATGGCTCACCTGGTCGATGGTAGATTAAAAGTGGTCCCAAAATATTGACTCGTCGGCCTGGAACCTGTTGCTGCTGGACTGGGTGTCAGGTGTCGGGTGTCAGCCACGAAACATTTACTAGCTGGTCTGTCAAAGAGCGGAACGCTAAAATTCACAAATGTGATTACGTTTGTTATCAGCCCGAAATGTTTCCAAATGGCATGGCAGAGGTATTTTAACAGTCCGAACAATTAATTAAAAATTACCTATTGCCGGCTACTGCTTACTGGGAATGTGCGCGGGTACAAAGTTCGGAATTTTCTTTTTTTTTTCCCGTGCTGCTCCGAGTCGAACCTGGTATATGCCCGCGCGGTGTCTTTTGATGAAGTTTACCTGGCCTGCTTCAATTTATTATTAGTATTTTGCATAATTTCATTCTTCATTTCTTAATAAAAACCATATTTACCATTTTTAAGTTAACATCAGTGTGACCGCGGACTTATTGTCCGACTCTCAGAAATATACCAAAATATACCGTCTCATTTTAAAAGTGTACCGTAAATGTACTGTCGAAGTTAGAACTTGACTCATACATATTGCTAGTTTTTGATATTCCGTCGAATATTACTAGCTAGATAGAACCCTTAGCCCTGTCCACATAATTTTATCCAATTAATCAATCCATTTTCTACTTAACTGGCGTGTTTTAAATACATGCTCTTATTGGTTGTTGTCTATATGTAAAAGGTAAGGGAAAAATCGTTTTTCCGTTGAATAATACTGACGAGATGAACTAAAACCCTTAGCTCTGACCACATGATTTTAGGCCATTGACGTATAAATGTTCTACAATATTAGCTACTTTTAAGTACAATTTTTATTTATTGTGTCTAAAACAAGGTTTAAACAAAACAACAGTGACAACGTAAGGGAGTATGGAATGTCACGTTATTTCTTTCTTGCAGCTTGTCATCCCAAGGTGAAATTGGTAAAATGCGCAAACTCGATCCAAAGGGGGAACGACTACAAAGAAGGCATTTTAGTTAAGTTAACATTAACATACCAATAACGTGTCGCTGTTAATTTGAACTATGGTTTTTCAGCTGGTTTTTCTAAGCTGAAATCGATTAAAGGTAAAAATCAGCTGATTTTGAACCAATACAAAATTTTTAAATTTCTTAAACTTTTTAAGTTTTTTTTCTACTTTGTTCTTAGGTTAGGTTAGGTTGAGGCGGCTGCCGGGCTCGCTCGGAGCCCGTCACACTTAGGCCGGTTTCGGCCCGTTGTGATACCGCATAGGATCATTCCTTCCTGTCAGCAATTATCCCATCCAGATGCTCTCACAAAGTTCGCTATCCTCCTGGGACATAGTTTGGACATCTCTGAGATGTCGTGTAGAAAGGCTGAGCCCAGGTGCTGTAGCCTTCTTCTGCTGAGAGCTGGGCAGGAGCAGAACAGATGTTCCACTGTCTCCTCCTCTTCCTCGTTTCTACAGCTGCGACAAAAATCATTATGTGGGGCACCCAGCCTGTTAGCGTGGGTGCCTATTAGCCAGTGTCCCGTGAGGGAACGTATGACTACGCTGCACCTTTTCCTGCTTAACTTGAGGAGCTCGGAGGTGCGCTTCATGTCCATGGTCGGCCATGTTTGCCGAGTTGTGCGACATCGTGGCACTGGCTACATATCGTTTGTTAGTCGCTTGTATTGCTCCCTTATAATGAGCTTACAGGTGGCCATTGGCATACAGATATCCTCCTTGTCTTGGAGAAGGGGGATTGTAGTGCCAGATCTGGCCAGCTCGTCCGCTATACAGTTGCCCTCGATGTCCCGGTGGCCCGTGACCCAAATAAGGCTAATAGCAAATTGCTGAGCCATCTCGTGCAGAGATTTGCGGCAGTCTACCACGGTGGCCGAGTTCGAGGAAATCGCGCTTAGCGATTTGATCGCAGCCTGGCTGTCGCTATAAATGTTTAGCTTGGTTGCCGTAACGGCAGCCGCTTGTAGGCAGTCAAGAGCCTCCCTGATTGCTATGACTTCCGCTTGAAAGACACTGCAATGATCTGGGAGTCTGAAGGAATGCCCTATGTTTTGCTGTTCAGAGTAGATTCCCCCTCCGACTCTGTCGTCCAGCTTTGATCCATCTGTGAAGATGTTTATGGCCCCATCTGGGCCTGGGAGTCCCTCGAGCCATTCGTCTCTGTGAGGGATGATTATGTCGAAGGGAGTGACTGTGTACTCTCTTGGAACTTGGTAGTCTGTTTTTGAGGGGACGGTACTGCTATTATTTAATATGGCTGAGTGACCTATGCACTGCGTCACCCATTGATCTGAGTCTCTTAGAAGTATTGCTGCTGCTTCTGCCCGTTCCTTTCCTGCGAGGTCAAGGCTCTGTAGGCATAGGATGGCATTTAGCGCATCATTTGGGGTGGTGCAAAGAGCTCCGCTGATACATAGGGCGGCAGTCCGCTGGACTTTGCCCAGTTGCTTGGTGATCGCCCTTTTTGACAGGGCCGGCCACCACACCGTAACTCCGTAGAGTAGTATTGGTCTAACTATAGCTTGATATATCCATTGGACTATGCTTGGGATCATACCCCATCTTAGCCCAATAGCTTTTTTGCATGTGTAGAGTGCAGCCATTGCCTTCTTCACTCTGTCTTTGACATTCAGGTTCCAACTAAGCTTCTTATCAATTACCAACCCTAAGTAACTGGCACTGTCGCTAAAGGAGAGCCTGCATCCTTGTAGTATTGGAGGGTTGAGGGGCGGGACCTTGTATTTATTTGTGAATAATACGAGTTCCGTTTTTGAGGGATTTACTCCAATCCGACAGTTGCGCTAGCTTTGAGGTCATTAAGTCGCACAGTGTTTGGGGGTATTTCCCCGAGAAGATAATCGCAACGTCGTCCGCATAGGCCACGACTTTGCAGATGTGTTCCTTTCAGCTTTAGGCTTGCCGCCTCTGGGTCTGTCTCTGTGTGATCGTCGTGTGCTCGACTGGCTTGTCGACAGGACGTGCCCCGGCTGCCGCATCCGACTTGTAGGCCTTTACGGTCACAGAGCTGAACCCAAAATTGAGCTCGCCTTTGGCAGCCTCAATCGGGGCCAGCGACTCTTTGTTGAGGACGACCACCGCCTGGTTTGTGGGGCCCTGTGTCGTCTCAACTTTGACCACCTTCCACTCCGCTGTTGGGAGGTGGGGGTTGCATCTTTGCAACATTTTTTGGATGCGTTCCGGCTCCTTCATGGAGGCGGGCACCCAGACTCTCGCCCTTGGTCTACTGGGCACTTCGCTCCAGTCTACAGGCTACGATTTTTATGCAGCCCTGGTACCAGCCCATGTCTTTGCAGACGGGGGGGGGGCACTCTGGTATCAAGGCACCAAGGTATCGGTTTTGGGAGCCAATTCACCACCAACCCCGACACCGGGATGGGACCCCTTTGGGCTCTCCCTAGCATTACGGGTCGGGGAGATTGGGATTGCTCCCTGTTGGCATTTGGGGAGTGCCAAACTCATTTTGTTTGTTTTTAAAATCTTCCATTCTTTTCCCACGAGCTGCAGAGAAGGGGTACGGTCCGTCCGGGCAGAGATCCACGTTGCCCGGATAAGGCATACTTAGAACAGGGGGGTGCCAAGTCCCTGAGCTCTTCGTTAACGACTGGGCTAGTTTTATATACCGGGCCCCCAGCCAGGCTGACTCTCGGCACGGGTCGAATAACACTCTTAGTACGGCCCGGTGTGAGCTGAATGTGGGGGTTGGGATGTGGGTAGGTAGTGTGTAGGGATAGGTGAGTGTGTGAGCTACTTATACGAGGCGACACCATAAGCGCATCGTCAGTGTTGCTACTATTATTTTCGGTACTCTCCCTAGGGATGTCCGATTATTCGCAGCTGACCTACCTTTATGACCTGTATATAGGTAGGTCGTTCGCTATCCTCAGCTCGTGGCCTCAGCTAGGCCCCCTTTGAGCCACCTCACTTGCTCATCAGACCAGATTACTTTGTTCTTACTTTACTCGCTCTTTCATACATATGAGCTGAGCATAATGGTGCATGCCCACATCGAAAAGGAAACGGCAAAAACTTATTTCCCAAGGTACTAACGCCACACGACAACGGCAGTTCTCGTTCCCATATATGTACATATGTATGCCCTAATTAAAAATAAAAATAAAATACGTATAATTTAATTTTGGTTTATTTGTAATGTTTATTGAATTCTTGCAGTCTTTTTGGCAAGGGGACCGCCGGTTACTGATATAGTCCCTCTTAGGGAAGGAGGTTTTCCTATACACTCGAAAGTGTTTTGGTGTTCTTTTTCGCGCTGCCCATTCTTTAGCGCAAGTTATGTTTCACCTCTCGGAACCTTTTTCCTATCGAGCATGACCTGCCGCTGCTTGTCGAGTAGTTCTTTGTAGTAGTTCTTTTCTTGTGCTCCATAATCTCCTGATCGCCAATAGGCACGTAACTCGATGAGGCCGGGTTCTTTCCGAAGGAGAAGCTGCTTGAGACAGTTGTACCCTAGCTCTGTACAAACGGCGTAAGTAGGTGTGCCCGTCCGCGGCATCGCTGTCATCTCCCTGAGTGCTTCCATAGTCTTCGACCAGAGGCTCATTTAAATAGTCATCAATGCCAACCGAGACTTGCGACTAGTCCTGGTTAAAGTAGAAATGCTGATCGTTTTTAATGCTAATAATTGAGATTCAGCAGTTCTAAATCATTGAAACAGTGAATCCTCCCGAAAATCTGAGCGATGCTTACGGTACGAAAATTTTAAGTGAATTCAAGCCAATTTTAATTTATTTATTGCAAAAGCTATGCTTTGGAGGATGCCGGAAGAACCCGGAAATGGGCTCTGGCGAAAGTGATTAAACAATTATATCTTACTGAACCACCTTCTGCCATACCCATTGCAGGCAGAATAGTCGAAGTTCTGATATCTTAACATCCAAAAAGAAAGATTAAGGGGCCCCCAAAGAAAATGTAGGGGATTAGTGTCCCATTGGGGACACTACTTTAAAAAAAAACGCTTCAAAAAACCCTACCTCTAGGGTGGTGTGGAATGAGTTTCTTTATTTCATAATATACATATATGCTATAGAATACATATCAATGTTTCTGAGAAAAAAAATATACTTCATATACGTGTATCTTGTTTCATTAACAATAAATCAATCTTTAACGTCTGTAAGTGTTGAAAACTGCTTAATTTTCTTTTGACCACATTGACTTGGCCTAAAACTCGCCCAACTTCGAAATTTGGCCATGGCTGTGAAAACAACGTTTCCGACCCCATAAAGTGTATACATTTTTGATGAGCATCAATAGCAGAGTCGATGTACCTATGTCTGCCTGTTCTTCCATGCAGACTTCTGTGATATCGCACTGTTGCAAGGGTATTCCAAATTTCGACCGGACCCCCACTAACACCGAAAGTCTGTGGCATCCACAATTTTAAAGACGCGAAAAAACTGAAAACGCAGATCT